GGTATTACTATAAAGTTGTATTAAGAATACAGTACTCATTACTCATGAGGAAATGTATCCCATTGGTTAGCATGGTTGCTTGACGAAAGCCTTTTCCAGAGCTCCCTGTGTGACTGGTGCATGACTTGGCAAAACTCATCTCAGCCTGTGATCCAGACATTCTCATCATCTGTTACAAGATGAGGATTAATTTGCCATAATGTGTTGCATCAACATGCTTTGACCGAGTGTTTTGTCAAGTTGATTTGCCCCTGAACAGGTGATTCTGACCCAGACTTAACTTACAGTTATTGGTGCAATTCATGTCTTTCATACCCGCACACAGTCTAACAGCAGCAGAGCAATGAGACAAGGTTTATAATTGAGGTACATAACTTTATCGTAATACGTTACCAACTTCTTCCCAGAAGTATTATGTATCAGTCATGGTGTACATATTTGGCTGTCCTGTATTTTGCTTTAGTTAAGTGAGCCAGTAAGATATATAATAGCAAATATATATAGTATATCAAACTTTGTCCAGGAGTATAAAATAAGGACGTCTTTGTCTACTACACTGTATTAACATTCAAGCTCGATAAACCGACTTCGCAGGGATAGACTTGCAGAACCACAGATGCTAACAAGAAGAAATAATAGATCCTTTTAAGCACTGACGGATACTGATAGGCAATCCAGAGTTTCAGCCTCACAGCCCTCTCTGAAAGGGTCACTGAGAATATCATTTGCTTATTATCCTTCATTTGTTGTTTCACTTTGCAGAAGAATTTGTGTGCAGACTTTGACACCAGAAAGCAGTTTTCACATTCATCTGCTGGAGGGGGAAAGTTTCTCACCTTAAAATGAGTGTCACAACATGAGTTTGTGGTAACACAACTAGTTTGGGCAAGCAAAGTCCAATATGTAGCTAGAAGCCTCCGGTGCACATACACTGATGATGGAGCTGATTTTTTAAATATAGTTCAATATAGAATATTTGCACACAGGTACAAACGACCAATCCATTCCAGGTACTGATCTGACTTAAAACCATACCATTCAACAGTAGGGCTGTACCTAAAGATTATTTTCTTTATTAGTTACTGTAATTGCAGCTTATTTCACTTGATTTGTTTGTTCTATAAAATATAGGAACAATATTAAAAGGGGTAAAAATGTTTATCCTATTTATTCAATCATCATGGGATGTCTTTAAATGTCCCTTTAGTCAGTCCAAACCCAAATATATTCTGTTTCAATTGATGTAATACAGAAAATAAAGATATCTCCATATTTTAGAAGCTAAAAGCAGCATTTTCTGCCACTTTTGAATACAAAATCGCTTAATTGAAAAACATCAAAACTGTTGGCTTGAGCATTAGTAACAAACGTGTACAATGTACTTATATGAGCAATTAAAGCTAACACAATTCAAACAACACTGACCTAAATTACTTACTCACTCCCTTCCTTCCTTTCTTCCTTCTATCCTTCCTTTCTCAATCAATCACTCTCTCACTCACTCACTCACTCACTCACTTCAGTACCGCTCCTGGCATCCTACATTCTAGGATGCCACAAGAAAACTTGAACCAGTTCCATTAAAGCCAGCCCTCGGGGTGATGGATCCTTACCTGTTAATACCTCTATCTGCATGAGGCAGGTAGCGGGCTGACGCTGACATGCTGGGCATTTGCTTGTGCAGTGAAACCCCAGCTGTGACACTCATTAAGTGATTCAGTCAAGCCTGAAACAAGGACACAGGCCAATGAATGTGACTAGTGACTTGCTGGACATGACAGCATGGTCATATTGTGAATTACAGGGCATTCAGTATGGGTCAAACTACTTTGAAATGAGCAATTAGCACAATAAATTGTCTTCATCACCCAAAAATTATTCATTTATTTAAAAAAACCTTTTTTATGTAATGAACCCTTGTTGTGCAGTTGCATGTTCTTGCGAGTGGTCTCATCTCATGGCATGTTTCTGATTAAAATGTAATATTTATAAAAAGTCACATCTCATTTGCATTTCATCAATGCATTTACCATGCGTTCATCTATCATTATCGTATTTGAATGTAGGGTGGTTTTCTGCACCAGAATGGTAGTATTCATGTTTATATGAGATTACACACTTCAATTTCAAGAGAAGAAAAAAAACAATATATCCTAAGATGGAGCCTTATTACTTCCTGCCAACTAAGTCATTTACCTCCACCACCAAATTAAATAGATGGATGGAAAGAGATGAGGAGACAGATAAACCGGCAAAAGAATGGGGGTTGCTGTGCTGCTTTGTGGTGCTGCCGTTATTCATCTATTTAGCATCTTTCCTGAGCTGTCAGTCATTTTGTTCACAACTCTCCTCCTTCACCAAACAACACTTGGCAGCTTGATGTCCTGCCTGAGCCAAACTGTTTGTTTTTCAGAGATTGTACTCCGTGGGACAAATGCAGCTTTCCTGTTCTTGTAAGAGGATAGAGCGAAGGAGGGAGTGATTGAATGTCAGACGATTGACATTATTTTGGTAACTGCAAACCTTTTGAAATTAGAGGGAAGTTGGTGTTGGGCATACATACTGTACATGTATGTGTGTGTGTTTACCTTATGTCTTAGGGTGCTGTGTATGTTTGAGCTGTGAGAGAGTGAGAGACACTGGATGAGGATGAATTAAACTCACCTCTTTCTCTTCATCTCTGAATGTGGAGGGATATTTTTAACATGTGTCTGCTTTGTCAGCCTCCTCGTTATCTGCCAACCTGAATCTGTTGTTTGTTGACTGACTGCACAGGCATCATTACACAATATTTATGTAGCTTTATATTACAGCCACATAACAGCCAGAGTGCCAGAGTGCTTAATAATTGTGCAGTTCGCCAAAGCTGTGACTGAGCGTATTGGGGTGTGCTGGTTTTTATCTCTTATCACTTCATCCAATAGGAGTAGATAGTTAATAAGGACATGTTATACTGAAACAGTATTAAAAAGCAAACTTGAAATATACTCCATAATGTAATAACAATGTTGCCATCATTCTGTGTTTTCTGTGTTTGCTGAATTCTCCAGCAAGGGCAGTGTGTTTTGTTCTGACTAAAGCAGGGAGTAGACTCACTCTGGCTCAGTGGAGCTTATCTTCAGATGGCCTTGGAAAAGAAAGCCTGTGTTTTAGAACATTTTGAGACAAAGGCAAATGATTTTCTTTGTTGCACATAATAACAGGCTGACAAAGTGTACGCCTACTGTCAATCACTGAAAAAACATGCATGCACACCCTCAAAAACCCCCCACTATGCCCTATAAATATACCTCTGGGCACAAACACTGAAAAAAAAACAAGATTTTCAGATACACAGGTGAGAGGCAACAATGCAATGCAGTGCACAACAGAAGTGCAGCAGTAATTATCATCCATCTATCTGAGCAAAGCAATCTGCATATGAAGTACTGTTCTTCCAGATCCATTCAAGGGTAAATGGAAAGGAGTGTATAATTGCATCACAACACAGAGGAGACAATTGCATTTTCTTTAAAGACTGAAATCAAAGTTGTCGAGAAGCTAATACTCTTCACTGGTCCACTGCAAAGCAATTTGTTCTGGAATAGCTTGAGACCATTTGTATTTGCTGTCAATAGCATTATGGTTTTTTAAACACTTTAATAAAGTAGTTGTTGAATCTTCACTTTAGCAACTAATTTTCTTCCACTGAAGATCAATTAAAAAACCTTCGCTAAGAGGCCAGAGCTGTTGTTTTCAACACTAGTGTTGGCACTGTTAACAGAGACAAGGGGAAGCAATCATGTTTTATCTCCTAGAAATAGTGCTGCATGCACATTCAAAAGAAACTAAATGGGTAGTTGAATGGATATTACTTATAAACACAGTGCAATGGTTATTTCATTATGTAAAGGGCTCTTTGTCTCAGTATAAACAGTGTTTCTTATACGATAACTATCAAACTATCAAAGAGCATCTAGGTGACTCAGGGATGGCCACACCTTGAATGAAGTGGTGAAACAATACTTGTGTGCTACTACACATTCCTGCATAAGTTGCTCAATATTGTGAGAATGAGAATGATATGCCACTGTTTGAGTAGGATTTTACATTAATGCTTCAACACTTTTATAAAAGTAAAACACAATCTCATGTATGAAGGTAAGCTTTGCTCCAACATTAAAAACAGTTTTGGTCATATATAAACATATTTTGTCTTGAAAGCAGCTTTGGAAGGTATCATGGGAAATGATATTAGCTGGCACTTTGCCATCTGTTAGGTTTTTGAGTGAACTGAAATCTCTTATCTCATTCTGTTGTCATGTAGCTCTGCCACCCTGCTCGCCCACCCAACTAACCCCTGGACCTGCTCTGGGAATCGAACAGTTTCACCAGAGACCTGCAGTCAGAGTTTAGCTGCCTCTGCTTCGACACCATATTAAATAAAAGTACTTTACTTCTTGTTGTTTCTATAGCAACAGTTCCCACTCATGTCTTCAGGATACTGTGCAATGCGGGAAGTGAAGAAGAGCTGCAATGACAATCATACCTGAGCATTTGGATTTAATCATACATTTAAGTATGTCCATGACAGAATTACAAAACAGTCAAGTTTGAGTCTTATTGTCTTTGAGAAGCCTGTGAAACAAAGTTTAGACCATGAGGTTAAAATAAAAAGAACAAAAGATAATCATACTAGCAAAACAATAGGATATGTTTGGCTGACCCTAATTGGAAGAGCGGTAGCAACATTGTTGAACACTCAATAGATCAAATTAATAAAAGAGCCACATACCCACAAAGTGGTTCACATGAATGAAGATTGAATTTAATTAACACAGTCATGCAAACATTAGCTTCATAGAAACTATTCAGTGCATCTGCTGTGTAGGTGTTCTCGTCCTCGACTGTATCCTTACTTTGTTGAAGTTGATTCTAAGTCTTTTTTCCTCCTAATACCTTTTTCTCTCCCTTTCTCCTTTCTGAAAATGTTTCTGTTTTGCTCTCTATCTCTTCCAGGTTTTAATAAGAGACAGAGGTGATGTGATGGCAGCGCTTTCAGGCAGGACAGATCTGAGAAGACTGTCTGCTGCACACTAAACCAACTGGATGCAACACGTTGGAGTCCTTCGACAGGTAGGCATACCTTTGGAAGTCCGTTGGCTTTACAAACACATTTTGAATAGTTTTCCCTTCGCGTTGGCATGCTGTCTTCTGTATGAAGTGCAGAAAGCAAAATCCTTGACTCGGATTTAAAGAAGCAATAACAGTACATTTCTTGCAATTAAGTGATGAAAATTCGATGCCAGATTCAAACAAAAATATACACAGCAGTGAAACTTATTTTTCACTTCAAATTATTTTTCTCGTCATCTGAAAAGGATGTTTGACATTCTGCCTAAGCTCCCTTTATATCTCATGCACTTTTTCTCTTCTGCTTGCAGAATGGATTTTTCCAATTACACTGAAGGGGTGTTTGCCACAACCAGCAGTGGTAATGACTCCCTGGAGGCCACTAAACCCCCTTCTAGTAAGATCCTGCTAACGCTTACCCTGTCTGTAGTGGCCGTCCTGACTACATTCTTCAACTGCCTGGTGATCACAGCTATCGCAGTCACACGCAAGTTGCACCACCCGGCCAACTACCTCATCTGCTCATTAGCAGCGACCGACCTGCTGGTGGCTGTGCTGGTCATGCCCTTCGGTATTATGTACATCCAGAAAGAGACCTGGGGCATGGGCCAGGTGGTGTGTACCATCTGGTTAAGTGTGGATATCACTTGTTGCACATGCTCCATCCTGCACCTTGCTGCCATCGCCATCGACCGTTACAGGGCCATTACAGATGCAGTGGAGTATTCACGCAAACGCACGGGGGCCAGGGCTGGGGCGATGGTGGCATTGGTGTGGTTCCTGTCCATCCTCATCTCGGTTCCTCCTCTAATCTGGCGGCACTACAGCGGGGATGCCGAGCAGGTAGACCAGTGCATCATGATGCACCATCACATGGCTTTCACCTTATACTCTACCCTTGGAGCGTTCTACATCCCTCTGATGCTCATACTCATCCTCTACTACAAGATATACCGTGCCGCTCAGACCCTGTATATGCGCAGGGAGGCCAGCCGGGCCAGCCGCTATTCAAGTGTGACCAATGGGAGCATGATCCCCTCGTCCTACCCTGCTGGAGATGGCAACGAGGATAGGGGAGCCCAAAGTCCGGAGCCCATAAGCCCTCCAGAAAAGTCTTTCTCTGAACCCTCAACTGAGGAGCCTCCACGTGAACGGGTGCGTAAATCTAAGGCTTTCCAGGGCAAGTCGCGCCGGCATGAGTCACGTAGTGAGTCACACAGTGAGTCACGTCGGAGCCAGTTTTACCAAGGTCCACGGATCTCAGGCTCACGGGAGCGCAAAGCAGCATCAACGTTGGGGTTGATAATAGGGGCATTCGTCATCTGTTGGCTGCCATTTTTTGTCAAGGAGGTGATTGTCAATACCTGCAGTGAGTGCAGTACTTCGATGGAGATGGCTGACTTCCTTACGTGGTTGGGCTACGTTAACTCGCTAATTAATCCCCTCATCTACACTATCTTTAATGAAGACTTCAAAAAAGCTTTCCAAAGACTTGTTAGGTGCAGTCATTACCTCTGATGGTAACAATTGCACATGATTACACCCATACACCCCAACACATGCCCATGAAACAAACTATGGAGATCGGAGAGAACTGACCAAATACTGACTGAATTTACCTGACAGACACTAAGGATGACCTCCATTTCCAGAACACCTGCCATGCGCTCCAACAGCCAGAATGGCACCAGCTCAGCCATGAGCTTGCAGCAAAGTTCCATATTGAAGTCCAAGTCCTGCTATTAATGGAAATGCTTTCATTGATCTTAATTGTTGTGATGGAAAGGACAGTAACATGTTGATTTTTTGAAAATGGGCAATTGCCGACCTTTTTGAGGGCTGGGTTCTGATCATTAGTGATCAGCCCCATTAACAGGCCTTGAGATAGTTGGCCATTACTGCTTTTTCATCTAATGACCTCCCTTGTATCTCGTCCAAGCTGCCGGCTAACATGTGTAAAATACCACAGCATACCAATTTGTGATTTCATGTGGCCATGGCGTTTCAGAGGGTGACCTTTATCCGATTGACTGTCGCAATGATTATTAACATTGTTGTGATATGTACTCAGAAAACTCTCTCAACAAATATAAGTTATACATTTGTAGATTTTTGAAGTTTATGTCTGTTATTGGCAAATGATACCAGCTTGATTCACTAGGCCATCTGATAGCAAAGGGTTATCAGCTGGCTTTCATAGATTTCAGAATGCTGAACTAAACAAACCATGTTTTAAAGGTTTAGGGTGAACAGCTAAGAATGGCCTTAATGTGAATAAACTGTTATATGATCCTGGACCAAATGATAGTATTATAAGCACTTTCTGAATTATACAACAAAGAATATTTGGGGACCAAAATAAAAATGAGCTTTCTTCAACTTTCACAACAAAATGTTTTTCTGAGATGGTTTAAGGTATTGGTGTAAATGTTTTTTAAGACACTGCCACTTTATTTGATGTTTTGTACACTTTTTAATTTCCTTTATGTTATTTTGTGGGGTAATTATTCATTCATTTTTCACAAGTATTTTGGAGCTATTAAACACCCCTTCTCATCTCACTCCCACCATAGGCAGCGTTATAGGTCAATTAATGTGAGAACCACCGGTGCAGAAATCCTCATTACATTAATCCCACTCGAGTACTTGGAAAATAACTACTATTTCTTTACTGCCTGCAAGAGGGCACACGATAAATTGATGGAAATACTGTGGATGAGTCATGTGTGAGGGTGTGCTGAATGCCAGGAAGATAATAGATAATGTGTCATACATGTACATCTCAGTCAGTATGACCAGTATTTGTATACTGTTTCTTTCTTTGTCTCTCACTGTCTTATTCAATAATAAAAAGCCCACATATGAATGATGTTCCCCTGTTATTCTTATAGATATATTTCTGGATTTGGTACATGAGTGATACAGTATATGCATGGATTGAATTAATTAATGAAAACATGAGGTTTAGGGTCATACTCTTGGAGCAAGGGTTAGCGCAGAACCAAACATAAAGAAAAAAAACAAACATTAAATATTCCAACATCAGCCTGATCACACACAATCCAATACATATTATTCTTTATAACGTTTTTGCTAACACAAAATGAATAGGTCAAGTCAAATCCTGTGCTAGACCGCTTTTAGGGGAATTAATGTTGTAGCTGAATAATAATTTTAATGTGGGAATGAATGCTGATCACATACTGATCAGGGCTGATGATATACTGCAAACCAACATTTCAGTTAGCTGATTGTTAGAGTATATGTGAAGGGATGTTTCGATATCTCTGTGTTATGGCGCCCCATTGTGGCTGCTGGAAACAGTGCAGCCTTTTTTCTAGCTGCTTTAGCATAACATTTATTAATCTGGAAATGTTGTCTAATGTAGCCTCATCAATCAAACAAATTACATTTATAAAATAGAAAGTCTGCATTTATGTGCAATTATTACTTTGTGTCAACATTTTCAGGGAAAACATATTCTTGGGTTTTATAAAACGTACACAGAAATATTATATAAGAGAACAACAAACCAGAAACTAAATGCCTATAAAATACAACAATTTTGGCTATTCGTGTAAAAATGGCTCATAAAATTGGGCTTTAATATTAAGGCGAAAGACGTGTTTCATGGAGAAGAAAAGATCTAGAACAAAGTCAAACTTTCATCTCTTCTACATCGTTTGTTCAAGATTAGACACAATTGTTCACCAAAATACTTGGGTATGTAAATTCTAACCACCTTACTTGTTATAGAAAATAAAAGTGAAATATGTATTTGATCAGTGTGAAATGACTAGACAGAGCATTTAAATTAAATGTCAATTAAGACCTCTGAAAGTTAAACTGCTATCCTATCCGATTAAAACATACTTACCCAAGTTTGCTCATTGGTCGCGTCTCGTTCATTTGGATTTAATCGTGATAGCGCCATAACAGTCTGAAGTTTGAACGAAAAACATACATTAAACAAATCTAGTGTTAGAAATGCACAGCATCACCCTGTGTTGACTTACCTCAAACAAGTGGCCTTTCTGTGTTCAATAAAATCAAGCAAGTTTCACGTCTCAGCAAGTTGATGCTTATGGCCAAAACACATGAGCTCAAAGTTCAATAAAGTAACAAAGATATTCTGGAAAATATATATGGGGCCCGTAGCTCACACATGCGCTCTAACTTGTCAGGTCCCTACCATGGATGTATAATGCAGCTAAGTTCTTCGTTGAAAGTATTTTCACTTTCTAAACGCTAGAGCAAACTCCGCTTGCCATGTTAATATGCCCAAAAATATTTTCCAATGCAATTAACGTGGTTTAAGAGTATTGTTTACTCTTTTGAAAACAAACTTCATCTGTACGTATTTATGACTGGGTTGCCAGGTTGCAGATGATTTTGTCGTGAGCAGATAGGAGGATGCTACCTTACAAACCTGGCAACTTGGGCTATGCGCTGCATACAGCAGACAGTATGGCGGAATGCGAGAGTGATTTGGAAACAGAAGGGCTTGAATTAGCTCTGGACACATTGTGTGGAAGACACTGCAGCAACCAGTTGTCTCTGAAGAGCAAAGACTATTGCTCTGAGTTTTGTGAGGTGAGTTAAACTCAATTGTGTTAAATGGTCTCCATAGTGTGCGTCTGTTTATTGCTAACGCTAACTAGCTATGCTAGCTAACATTAGCCCCCAAAGTAGCTCTGTTTATTGTGTAGCTAAGTTGTGTTTCTAAGACAGTTATATAGCCCGCCCGAAACACACAGAACTGATTACCTAAGTATAGATACATATATAATGTGCTACTGGAAAGGTAACTCCATATGGTTCCCATGTTTCTCGAGTTATCTGCCTGCATTTCTTAATGCTTAGCTTCATAGCTAACGCAGTCAGATCAGAGCGTATCTATGTTTCCAGAATCCTATGTTCCCCACTTTAATATCTTCATGATTTGACACATTAAAAAAACCTTTCTAATGTTGTTATGTTCTGAACGATATGCATTTCTCTGAGTCAAACGTTGAATTCACTAACCATAAGCCTGACAGTCATGTATAAACAGTAAACTTAGTTTAAACACTATTTACAAAGCTGCCTTGCTTAGGACTCTAAACTGTGAAATCAAATGTACGCCTTGTTAAAGTCATGCGTTTGTCAGGTTTTAGCCTTGCTTATACACTGATCTTATCCAAATTCCTCATATGATTGGCCGACATTTCCTAGGGGTTTATCTAAGATCGAGATGTCAGAGTTATAGCTTGCTGACGTTAACATATTTCACACATGTTGTACGCAAGCATAATTATATTTCAATTGACAATCATTCTTACTCCTGCTTTGGTATGGATACAATATTGAATACTTATTCTATGTATAACACGGTATATATTGTCATGATTCATTCCATATATTGAACCTCCTTGTTTTGTTATTAGACAGATAACTTTAATGTACCACACACCCAAGTGACTATCTGTAATGTATTTCTACAGCTTTCTCCATGGTTAAACAAATAAGACCAACATAGAACTTATTGGATTGTTGGCACTTTAAGAAAGTCATACTTTAAAATAAATAAATAATTGAAATTAAATGTAGATTGTTCACTACTATGTCATGCACTCAAAGCCTTGCTTTCATAATCAACTAAAGCTAAAATAGATTATCATACATAAAGTGCATAATGTTTCATATTTCTACATGTCTGTCTTCTGTATGCACAGTTGGTTGAGGAGTACACGGGGCAATGGCAGGTTCCTCTCCCTCAGCTAAAGTTGCTGCGGACTGCACTCTGCAGCTTCACCAAAGCCACTGCTGCCTTCCCTGAGGACTGTCAGCACGTCCACTATGTTCTCAGCAGTATGGCCTTGTAAGTACTGTGTTACATGTCAGAGTGGCAAACATGCATACTGGGGAATTCTTAGCCTACACTTTGAATATGCATCCCCGTAATCTAAAAACTAGACCATATACTCTTGTGAACATGGCAACCTTGTTTGCTAGCAAAATGCTGGACCATACCTTTTTAAATACATTGTCCCAGGGCTAAAGTATACTAATGTTATGTTTTCTGTCTATGTTGGCAAACCAGTAGAAACCTAATAGCGTTTTGCTTGGATCCGCTGTTATCAATGTCGTCGTCATTTGCTCTGTGACAGTAGCACTTCCAACACAACTGCTAAGGGTTTTGTAATTATCTGACATGTTCCTCTCATTGTCTTGCAGGAGCTTTTTTGAACTGATGCTGTTTTTCAGCAAAGAAGAATTTGTGGAAGAGCCTTTAAAAGACATCCTTGACTGCTTTCAGGTGAAAAAACTCTTTCAATACCTTGTTTTCTAATTCCCATAACCCTTTTTATAATACCTAGATTCATATCTACCATTTATTAGTTCATTAAAAGTTACCAGCACCTATCCAACAGCCAATTTGACCCCCCTGTTTTAAAATAAAACAATGTCTACCTCAGTGTTTGCTACTGATAGTCTAGTTGTAACTTTGATTTTTTTTTTTGTAAGGTTTTTGTGTTTAACGTGTCATTTTACCTCTCTTTGCAGCAGTGCCACTGTCAGCTCCTGAGGCACAGGAACAGCTACCTTCAGCATGTAAAGCTCATCATCAAAGCCGGAGGCCCGTGGGAAAACCCAGTGCTGCAAGGAATCCTGAAGGAGGCCCACCTTCCACCAAAACAGGGTGGGCTCCTGTCCGTTTCTAATAGCTAATATAGCATACACACAGATAACACTGCATTATCAAGGAGGTCAGCCCACTCCTGTGAGCAGACTTACCGATGTTGTTTGATCAACAAGCATCATGGTTTTAATGGAGAGGTAGAAGAGGAGAGGTGAGCAAACAGCTTTGTGGAGTAGCAGTGCTGATTGACAGGGGGCGTGAGATGTTGTGTGATAGACTCTCCTTCCTGTCAATCATTCTCTGAGATAAACTCACTTACTTTCAAAAGTCTAGTTTTAGCAAAGCTAGTAATTGATGATAAGCTGTTTATTAAAATGTTATTTGTTTTATACTTAACAAATAATATTCCTAAGACTTTGCGGTATATTACAACAACTTTGCCAGTATAGAATTCTAACAACACCAACATGACCCCAAGCAAACACCTAAATGTCATTTGTCACATATCATTGTGATTTTCCTCCAATGCAGTTGAGGACTACTTAAGCTCAGAGCTGGCAGTATTCTTTGAGCTGCGGATTCGCTACCTGCTGGCCTGTGAACGAATGCAAGAGGCCATGGCTCTGGCTAAAAGCTGCCTGGAAAATCTCGAGGCTGGAAAGCATCTGTACTTCCATCAGGCCTACCTGACCTGCCTCTACAAGGCCTCACTGCACGAGCACCTTCACAAGGAGGTAAGAGACAGGAAGTCATAATGGGATTTAGAACAAAGCGCATCGCAAGATCTCTAATAGTTGGACAATGATAGTATTAAATAATCTGATATATAACCAGTAATAATCTGACAAATAATTCAAACCCAACAAATATTTATGATGCTGTATACAAATAATATGTGTTAACATTGTGTGATTTAGGTTATTATAAGCACATGATTCTTGTATCCATAGTTGTTTGTAATTCATTTTGAATAAGTTTGCATTTGGTGTATTTTTCTAAGCATGTGCTTCTACATATTCCTCTTCAGATGGCGGAGATAGATGGCCGCGATGCAGTGGAAATCATCTGCAACACAGAGAGCATGGAGAAAGACGAGCTCCTGTTGTCGCTGTGTAAAGCTTTCCTTACCCAGCAGCTACACAATGGAGACATGTACTACATCTGGTAAGAATTATTTGAATACATCACTCTAACGGCCCGTCCACACAGCAGCTTTAAAAAAATCTTACAACGCTTCTCTGCCCATTCACTTTGAATGGGGTGACGTCACTTTGCCTCGCTTTTCGCCGAACTGCATTGTGGGGAAGCAAAGCGAAGATTTCGATTTTCAGGATTCAAAAGTTGAGCAATGTTCAACTTTTGAAGCTGAGGTGAAGCGTCAGCCAATCAAATCCCGTTTATGCAAATCTGACAGTACAAGCGCTAGCCAATCAAACCGCGTGTAAGCTGGGAGAGACATACCGCAGTTCATTTCCTCATATTCCAAACGAGAAATTACGGTAGCAAATCACCCGGTTCTTTACGACCAGAACTATTTACCGGGATACAAACCGGAGGAACCAGGCATGGAGGGAGGTGGCAGAGACAGTGGGTGAAACTGGTAGGTTTTCGCCTGTTTGGGGATTTTATATATATATACTCGCATAAAATCCCCTGTTTTTTGCTTTGTATGTCGGGGGCGGGAGATTCATGTGATTGGTTGTTGGTCACGTTGCTAGCAAAAAAATCCCCAAGCATTCAGACACGTCCACCTCCAAGATTTTCAAGCTTTTTTTAACGTTGCTGTGAAGACCATGGATGTATAAGAACTGGATACAGCGTGGGAGGCGGGGCCTCATTCATTCCTATGAGAGTTGCTATCGCATGATGATAAAATGGCCCAACTTTCGAGAGAGCGAAACGTCACAGATTACCCGGCATGCCTGAGAAGTACCCGTATGTGCGCTCATAGCGCATGCGCAACTTTAACCATGCCTCCAAAATGCTCGTTCACATCAAGCACGTCAATTTGCGTACACGTAACAGCACCGCGCGTTCATGACAGCATGGCACTGGATTGTTATATGATGGAGTTTGATATTAACCAGGCGGCCGCGGCTGTTAGCAGCTAGCGGCTAGCTAGTAATTAGCTCTTAGTAGCTCTGTACGTGTTTTCTTTTCCTTATGACTGTTGTAAGTAAACATATTTATTCTATATTTCCTTCTATATGTGGATTTGAATGTATGTCACAGTCCTCTGTTTATTTATTGTTAAGAAACGCAACACATGGTTTTCAACAGTGGAACGATTTATGTGAATGTCAACAGCAACATCCCAAGCTTCTTTCTAGCCAAAATT